TGAAGCTGTAGATTTATCGCCACTTTTTGTTCCTCAATTTTAGAATCTACTACTTATGTAAATCAAATATATAAATAAACGTATGTATTGAATAATTCTTCAATATATTGGGTACGGTACTCACCTCACAGTCAAGCCGTGGGTTATCACTCTGCGATGTGAATGAACATTTATTTTCTTAATGGGATGTTTCCGAAGTAGGGCTAAATATTGCCTTGTTAAGTAATGGAAATGGAAATTCATACCAGCGATATACACCCTTTTAGTGTTTGTTTGATTTCAGAACTACACCAATAGATGGTTAGAATCTCTGAACAGCCTTTCGTCAAGAGCTATTTAGAGAATGTTGTCTATATAAAAAAAAAGTTACATAATTCATCTGAAATAGCACGTTTCCATAATGCCAAATTTTAAAATTTTGGCATCGCTAAACTTCGTATCGCCACCATCAATTCTTTAGTTTCTCCTTCCTCCTTCACAACGCATTGAGATTTGTTCAAGTATGACGTTAATTCACATTGGGTTTTGGGGTTCTTTTAGAAGAATAAAACCTCCGCTCTTCTGAGGAGTTATTAAGTGAAAAAAACTTAAATATCGACATCGTTCGTACCCCAGTTTACTGATACAGCCATGAAGCATGAGGTCAAAAACGCATCTCGGGTGAGCCTTTTTCCTTTGGATACCTCAGTTTGCCTTTTCGATAGTATTTTTATGTATTTATTTGCTCATTTTACGCCGATCAGCCAATCCCCGATCACCCTTTTGCATTTTCAGTGCTTCTTTATAAGGGAGACCTTCCAATAATATATATTTGGCCTGCGAAACCCCATCTAGGGATCTTTACTAAAAGTGAGAAAATTATTAAACTCTTTTGTTATCCCATCAACTATGCCCACCTCCGTGATCGACCCGTAATAGGACCTTGCAATTTGATATTATCACATGGATAGTGTTCAATAAATTAAAATTTTGAAAAGAAATCTCAAAGAATGTCGAGATTCGTCAAAACGACGTGCGCATTTTTATCATTTAAGATGTTTTTTTTACGAAGATAGATTCCTTTTGGTAAAGACCCCTCGCGTAATCGACCGCGATATCGGGAGGAACTGTATAGGATGACAATGTGATGACGATATGAACAGAACCCTCGAATTAAAACAAATACGCATGTACAGTGTTTGAGGACGTGTATTGTTTACCTTTTTTCCCCCTTCTTTTAGGGGTATAACTGAGAAGCATTCTAGATTTTATTATCCTATGAATATAGTTTTTGGATTTTTTTGGTTGGATAATCTCACATAAGTATTTCATTAGATTTTTAATTGATGCTGACGGTGTTGTAGACTTTATCTCTTTACATGAACTGCGAAACTCTGGGCGAAGCTTCCAAAAAAAAAGACATTTTAGCGAATGCCCCTTACCCCGTATGCACATCATAAAATCTGATTCACTATACTTTACTCCTAACTTAAGCAATGCCTGTATCATCATATGAAGATTAAAAATGTTATGAGGTTCTTTTAGAGCGGTTCCTTGTAAATGCTCTTTTAATCCGATTCCTTTTCTAAAAGGTGCCACTCAATGACTTTATCGATAGCTCCCTGAACACTCATAGAGGTAAGTGAATGGTTGAGCTCTATTAGGATGTCTATAATTCAAAATTTAACAAAAAGTAGTATGAAAAAATTAAATCGAAGCTGTGTTACTCAGCCAAAATAAAAAAATAAATAAAAAAGATGGGGAATAAGACTGAAGGCGAGTCCTGAAAAGTCTGTCCACTCCCTAACTACGTGTACAGCAATTCCTTATGAAAAAAGTAAATTTGGTCTTTATTTAGTGGTAGAACACAAAAAAATTGCTCTGGGGCTTCTAAAAAGTTCGTAAAGGAACATCCTTTAAAAGTTCATACTAACTGGAGTTGCGAAAGGGCTGTCAAACCACACCTGTACGTTTTAATTTTCACTGTGTTAAAAATTTACCCTTTCAACACCTATCACTCCTTTCATTCAAAGTCCAATATAGTTAAATGGTTAAAAATAAATAAATAAATAAATACCCGTTTTAGTTTAATATATATATATATATATAGCAAATATTCAAATAACACGCGAACATAGTACGCTTTGACAGAATCTCACAAAAAAAATAGCCGTGGAGGCGGTATGCATTGCTTTTCGGGGGAAACCCCCACGATTTCCGCCCAACGTGAGGTGGAGTTGAGTTTGTTAACCTTTTTAAAAGACAATCACGAGGTGTACAATATTTGGCAGCACCACCCCGATTTCCTTGCGGACAAACAAAAAGAGGAGGAGGAGAACGAGGCGTGTGGCCCTTCGCCTTGTCGGGATTCTTCCGGAACCAACTTTCATCGCGGCTCCCATATCGCCTACGTCAAACGCGAACTTCACGACCTCCCGAGTGGGGTGCAGGGGTTGTATTCCTCCCGGCCGTGGTTGGTTTTTTGGTGTTTGCAAGCCGCCGACCTCCTCGGCATTACCGATCAGCTGTACGCGCGCGTGTCCCCCGATCTCATCGCGGATTTCCTGTACTCCTGTTTGAAAGAAAACACCGAGAGGGACCCGTCCAAAGTCCACCCTGCGGAAACCGTGCGATCTCACAGCGATCACCCCGAGGGGAACCCGACATCACAAACGATTCACCCAGCGGAGGGAGCCTCTCAGATGGGCTTCTGCGGCGGCCCGGCGGCGCAACTGCCGCATTTGATCACCTCCTACGCGGCCTGCGCCGCGCT